TCTGCCAAAAAAATAACAGTGACTGCCGGAGGCCACCCGGCACACGGAGGGACCGCATCACTGCTGCAGAGGCTTCATCAGACATCACAAAACTTACGTCCTCTAGAACATATTAGTTCCATTGCACAATGGGGACCCATTCTTTCTAAAAATCGATATGTGTTCACAGCCTTGGTGAAGAAGAATTGGAAATACCACCTGAAAGTCAGATTCCCGGGTTGTCCCCGAGTTGTCTCGGCTGTTGATGGGAGCACAGTAAAATGTATAAGGCTGAGTACTGTGCTTGATCTGATCTGTCTGAATGGAGCTCAGCTCTGCCACCAATGAATGGAGCTGCGGGGCTTCTTCCTCAGCTCTCACACTGTGTTTTGTGCCTTAAATGGCCCTGTATTTCCCTGTGAGTGTCTTGATGCAGGACCTTTACAGAATTTATTGTGCCAGCCAATGACAGCCCCCGAAACACATCTGAAGGGAAAAGCTTTAGGACAATTCTTTCTTTTGCCAACTTCCTTTTCTAAATGATGCCTTTATTTCAAATAATGAAGGTGTATGAAAGCAAAATTTATTTAGTGTCTTCTATCTAGCTTAGAGCACCTCAAACCTTATAATTTATGAAAATCACACAGGAATGTGTTAACTATGCAGAATCCTCAACCCCACGCCAGGATTCATAAAATTTAGCGATGGGCATTTTTAAATCATAAGTCTCCCAGTGAACCCTGATGCAAGTGGTTCTGATCACACTTGGGAGAAACATTTCCCAGTCAGCCTCCAAATTAAGCTGAGCCAGCAAAGAGCCATTTACCTGGGTCCCATGTCAGGGCCCCTCTTATTAAGACTAATTTCACTGAATGATACTTTGATCTACAACTGTGAACATGAGAAACAGCCCAACCCCCTGAGATGTAGACCTAGATATACAGATATTCACACCAAATAGATAGACAGACAGACAGGTATGATACATAGATATAAATGATAGAGACAGATAGATAAATGATAGATATACAGATGATAGAAAGAATAGATGATTGATAGATGATGAAAGAGAAAGAAAAGAAAGAAAGAAAAAGGGAGGAAGGAAGGAAGGAAGGAAAAAAGGAAGGGAGGAAGAGAGAGAAAGAAAGGAAGAACAGGTGTGATGTATTGTCTAACCACTACACTTCGAGGGGGAGGGGCACAATCACCAACCTTGCCAGGAAGACAGGTGTAAGCCAGGGTTTCCCAGAATGTCTGGCAACTCTGATTATTTTTCTTGTGACTTCCCTGTTACCCTCCTACAATAAACCAAGAAACACATTTTTCTCTAGACTCAGAATTAATAGCTGGGCCATCTTTCCCACATTTGTTTTCTTTTTATTCTAGGGACACTGAGGCAGGCATATATTGCTGGAGGCACCTTCACACAGCCTGCTGACACCTTGGACCCAAATAACACCCGATTTTTGCAACTGTGCAGGATTTAAAAGTTTGCGTTAAAAATATATACATATATGCACAAACATACAAACCCCCTCCTGGTTTCACCGTCTGTTAAGTTCTTACTTTAGCCCCGTTCTCTATCCGTTTACTCTGAAAATGGATTCTGTCTTGTTCCTTTATTTATATTTGTGTGAGCTTTCTTAAATCCATTTTGAAACAAGGAGAGAGTGCAAATATATCCAATGAAGGTATATATTTATTCATTAGGGTTATTTTATGAGTTTCTTTAAAGCTCTTGAGTTAAAGACAGTGAGTCTCAAAACCAGGAACTTTGAGAAGTGAGGAATTCAGGTACAAGAGTCCAATCTGAACACAGACAATACCCCAAGTTCTGCTTTTTCTTCTCGCTAACACACCAATCTTCAGGCCAGTGTGTATCAGGACCATTTTTAGGTCTAGGACATGAATGTCAGTCTGTAGGTGATTGATGGTGCAAAGTGCTTCAGAGTAAATAATGGAGTTTTTTGGTTATCTTTTTGATTTGCACTTATGAGCGCCAATCATTGTGTTTAAGTAGTAGGAGCTATATGAACCAGTCAGAACCAGGTTTGGAGAATTCTACCTAAGTATGCGGAGTTCCCTAC